CCAGGCTTTGTATCTTTTCACAGCTTTACATCGAAATCCTGCCCTCAGCAAAAGTCCTGGGCTTCTCTCAGGTACGAGCAACCCAGGTCATGTGACACCCCCCAAATTTATTACCATGCCAGTCAGTCTTACCTAAACCATTTGGCTGCTACACGATGAGGAAGGGGTGAAACGGATGCAGAGCAGGCAAGTTATAACACTCATTGCACGGATTTAGGTGGAAAAGAGAACACCTGAGGAGGGTGGATGAGCCGCAGGGGACCCAATCCTCCCTGGCCTGGTAGGCAGACGTTGATAGTTACTCATTCTCTGCAGAGTCTTCTGATCCTTATTTAACAACTGTCTCCCAGCTCCATGAGTGCAAGAATCATGACTGTTTTATTCCTTAGTTATATCCTCGGCTCCTAAACAATGCGCAGCATAAATATGGGACTAAATAAATTCTTGTTAAAGGAAGCAGTGACTGAATGAGACCAGCATAACCTGCTTAAACTTGGTAAAACCAAGCCATCACAGAAAGGGGAGTTTCAGTTCAGCCCTGGACAGCTAAAAAAAGAAGCCTCTTGTTTCTGGATCCCTTCTCCCAGTCAACTGGAAAGAAGAAACAAAAGCGATTAGGACTCACCAACCCTGCCTCCTGTCCTCTGGACCCACATTTAGGGAATGGCACAGAACTGCTTTCTTCCTTCCTTACTCGTCTTCACCCTGAAGATGTGCTTAGCTAGAACAATATACTCCTGTTGGCAACTTGCCCTGTGTCATCCTTCAATTTCATTCTAACAAGGAACAATGAAATTTGGAGCCATTTTCTTATACCCCCACATGATTCACATCTCTTGGCATTGACCCTCAGAATATAATTTGTGTGGAAGGGTGAAAAGAGTATTATTACTCATGGCTTAAATGCATGCACACGTGCTGATTTATTAAAGTGACATCCTTGTAGTCTGTCCACTTCCCTGCCTTAAATATCTCTCCAAAACCTAATGTGAGAATAAAATTACTTGAATGTTGTCATAAGTCTAGGGATTGCACAACTTGGGGGAAAGTGATATTCAATCTTTATTTGATCTCAAAATATTCTCCCCTTCCATCTCTGCTGTTGAAGTAAAAGAACAATTACTTTAGCTGGTTAATCAAGAATTCAAAATAAAATTGATTCTGTCTGTAACACTTATTGTGACTATTTTGACACTCTTTGAGATGATCAAAGAGGTGGTAGTTGAAAAACCATACTGGCCTTAAGGTTAGGAAAGTAGGGAGAGCAGCTTTTTGAAAAAATCAGATTACTTAACAGGTTTATTTCACAAAGGCTCAAGAGATCCAAAGTATATACTCACTGATTAATAAATTATAGAAAGAAAACTATTTGAAAATAGGAACAAGCTACTAAAAGATATTTACCCATGAAGAGAAATCAGTACTTTTGGAGATAAACTTAGCAAAAGGTTGGTAGACACCTCAGACCTGTATATCAAAGGAGTAGATCAACATTTTGTAGCATCAGATTTCTTCACCCTGGGGCACTGGTAGAGCAGCTTATGCTTGAGGGAAGGTCACCAGAGGACACGAAAGGAAAACTGAGGTTCAATGAGGCGAAAGGGCTTTAGAGTTGACACTTGAACCCTTTAGGGGGGTAGAGAGAGGGAGTGAGGGAAA